TTTCGGACTTGTTAAGGGCGAGAAGCTGGGCCGTGATCTTCCTGCACAGCCAGTCGGTGGGGTCCTTAGCCAATGTCCGGTAAGGGCCCGTGGAGATGAGCTCACCCATCTTGTCCCGGTATGTGTGGGCGTCGAGGATCACGCTGGCACGGCCCTTGTCGGCGGGGAGGATCACGATGGAACGAACCTGCCGTAGGGCCTTCAGGGCGCTTGCGTTGCTCCTGGTTGATGTTGCTCCTGGGCGGGCGTGCCCTCCGTAACGTGGCGTTGACTTCTCTGCGGAACAGATCAGCTGTTTCCGGGTCAAGCCTCTTCAACGTTGTTTCCACACTGGCCACGATCTCCGTTGCCGGTACGTGGTCGGGGGTGACGGCGAAGTTGAGGCCTTTCCCTAGAAGAGATGTCTCGACGATGGTGAGGGTCTTCGCGGAGAGGTTGACGACCCACTTCGATGTGTCAACGGCAGACTCAATTGGGCGCTGGGTGGTGCGATGGGCCGAACTTTCCTCAGTTAGGTCTTGGAACTTGGCGAGTTGGCGGGCCTTGCACTTCTCGAACTCCCGGCGGTAACGGCAGTCGATATGCTGGGTGAGGTGGGCACGGTCAGCTTCACTGAAGGTGAACTGGATCTGGGCCAAAGTGGATCTGGGCCAAAGATATGCATGCTTCTCATTCCAATAAATACGTCCAAATAGACTGCTGGCAGAAACACTACTTTGCTAAAAAAAAAATGGAAAAATAATCCACGCCAAGCTCCATTTGGAGCCAGAACAGGTAAACTGCATTTTAATACCTTCCCATTACACAATCCATTTCCTTACTGGCATTATACTAAACCTGATATCTCAACAGAAATTTTGAACCATGTTAAGCATATCATGGATATCAATGAAAAGGGTTCCCTTGCTACAGAGATCATACATACAACTTGGGGAAACCCACTTCACATCTATAAAGCTGGTTCTGTCGACCCGAATAATAACACTGTGGGATGTGGTATACATACCTCAACTTAATTATTCTAAGAACATCAGATTAAACAACGAAGCCTCTATTTTTACAGCAGAACTCTTTGCCATTTTACTGGCCCTTGAATGGATTGAAGATGTTCAGCCTATGCAATCCTGTATATTCACAGATTGTCTAAATGCTATACAAGCTATATCTCGGCCTGTCCCAAGAAACAAACTAACTTGTGATATTCGGCATACACTTATTAATATTCAAAATCAGGCTAACAAAGTTATTTTTGAATGGATACCAGGACACTGTGGAGTTAAAGGACACGAACAACTTGACCAGATTGCTAGAAAGGGTACTAAAGAAAATTTTATTGACCATAAACTACCCCTTTCTATAACAGAGGTTAAACATCAACTCAAAAGTTGCATCAAGCAAAAGTGGCGGGAATGGAATAATTCTAAAGCTACTTAAAAAAAACACAACCCATTGTTTCCCTCAACACGAACACGTGGAACCTCTCACGCTGGCAAGAAGTTCAGATTCACAGACTCCGGCTTGATACGTGAAAAAATCTAAATAGCCTCTATACAAAAACCGGTAAACACGCGAACGGATTTTGTAAAACATGCAACACGTACGACAATGCTGAGCATTTTCTCATAAACTGTAACAAATATGTTAGTGCCAGGGGAAAACTTCAAAAATCATTAAAATTAACTGAAGATGAAATGACATTTAAAAATGTTTTAAGCTCAAAATATAATATTACCCACTTACTGAAATACATCAAGGCTACTGACAGTAACATCTAATATAAACATGCATGCTCATACATACATGTACATTTATCCATATTTGCCCATGCTTCCTGGTGTGATATATACGTCAAACGATTGGCTGGACAGAGTGCTACCTATCAACACCTGGAGTATGCAGCCTGCGAACGTACCGGCGGAGCACGTGCTCTTAAATTGCATGGGAGACGGCTGGCTTGCAGGACACTGTAGCATCTCCGTGCCTGGAGGATCGTTGATGTCATATCACCCTCATAACATCATTCACTTCCCAGTCACTCTTCTGATTGCCTTACATGTTTTTCATATTTCATATGTAGCTCTTCTCATTTAAGCCTAGTCCAGGTTCCTTTTGCATGTATGCATGTATAATTATCTCTTTTTTATTTGGTTTCCTCCTACATATCCTACAGTACATGCCTCCCTTTACAGAGTCATTTCTCAATTCTTTGGTTTCAGACTTGTCGTTTCTTTTCTTCTTATCCGTCATTGTTCTCAAAGTTCAAGCCTGATGTCTTCATTGTGAGGAAGATTTCTTTGTGACTCAGCTACTGTATTTGAAGTTAGCACAAAGGGCTCAATAGTGCCAAAGGTGCCATTAATCTCACAACAACAACAACAACAACAACAACATGTTTGTACCAGCAAACAATTCACGTTTTTAAAACGTGATAGACACGTTATGCCTAATGTTTTCGTGATGTTCCACAAAAACGTTATGGTGACATGGCGTTACATACGTTTTCATGGCGTCTTTATGACGTTTTGCAAATCGTTTGAGTAATGTTTTTACAAAAAAAGTTATATAATACTTAAAATCTCAAATGAAGCTTTAGTGATGCTTTGGCCATGCAGTCGTAATTCTCAGAGTTCTGATCCCTCTGCCTAATATTCCTTGCAACGAGCGACGCTTGATAACCACGCCCACTTAAAGTCAATATGTATTGAAGTCAAAGCGACGTTATCGTGTCATTTATACAAAATAGTACATACACTAACACCATAATGACATTATGAATACTATCATATAACTAATACCGGTCACAACATTCACAGTTAGCATAGAGTTTCGAAACGTTATTTCATTCAATTAAAAATTAATAATATTGTTAAGAACGTTGGAGACATTTTAAGTAATATTTGTAATAATAACATTATTATAACATAATAATGATGATTTGTTTTTCTTATCTCTAATTATGAAAAAAGTTCCGACAATATCATCAAGGCAAAACTGAAATGTGAAAACGAGAGTTTTCAATGATATGGTTTTTTTTGCACAAAGCTTTTTGAATCTTAGTGCTGAATACTTGTGCGACAATTCGTAAACATTATGGACAATGCCGTAGAACCAAATGTCGACAAAAATATCGGAAATTTTCGAATGTTTGATAGTTATTCGATATGTTACTTTTATCTAAAATGATTACGATTCCCTCAAATCATCAAAACATGTCGGAAACAAAACAAAAATAATATAATGATATTTTGAGCACACCAATACGCCACGTGTATCTTTTTTCAAATACGTTTCAGACATCAATTGATGATATTGGAAATAATTTGTGATGTTAATTAAAAGTACTTTAAATGTCAGCGTTAACTCAGCAAACTCAAACATCACTTCAATGTTTAACAAAACCTTTCGCGTAATATTTGTGTGACATTTTCTCATGTTTGCTACATATTTACAAGTATACATTCTATCAATATCATTTTGATATGCAACTGTCAATGTGATACTGTTACTATGATGTTTTATCTCCTGACTTATATAAAAAAAAGCAGATTTCAAACATTAATAGATGATGTTGATTTGACCTATTCAAACATATGTTCCGTTGATTCAGAATAAAATGTTTTGTAAATGTTAAAAACACTAGTACAATATATATCTCCGTGATATTTACACAGCATGTTGGTCACAGGAATACAAGTATATTGAATTCACATCATGCAAGCATTTCAGAATTACAATGCTGTGAAAATATCACATCCACTTAAACACATTTATAGAACAAACCAATTTCAAAGAAGCGTTAGTGATTGTTTCGTCTATTCAAACATTTATAAAATGTCTTAAGAATTGTATTATTACAATAACATAACATCGTACGAACAACTCTGAATCATCTCAAGCACTGCTATAAATACACTTCTAAACTTGTCTTCTATGTCATAAAAACATCAAACTAGCGATATTTCTGTTTCGCTTTAAAACCTAGGTTATATATATATTTCACAATAACAATTACATAAAATTAATCTAACTTGTCTGACAAAAAAAATCAAATTAGGGGCATTGGAATATTTTCACAACGGTTTTAATTGTTTCATAATATTTCGATGCTGTAACTGAAATGTTATTTCAAACTGTTATATTCACAAAATCGGTGTGACTTTCAAAAAATATTGTCACAGCACTATGTGTTTGCTTTAACGTATCATCACCCAACGTTGTGTTAAAACACCTGTTTAGGCCTAATGCTTTCATCACGTTGATTTGTGTTTGACATAATAGTTTAACAATTATAACACGTTCCCACGTTGGAAATCATTTTGTCCTTAAAATCTCATAATAAACATTAATAAAACTCGAACAATTTTATTTAGCAATGTCAAAAGGATGTTTGCAAAATGTTGATGTGAAAACCCACTTCTCTTATAAAAACCTATTAAAAAATATAACCCAATTACATGATCATCGCAATTTCCGGAAACATATCGCAAACGTTTTAAAAATATTCGTTGATACCTTTCACGTATTACTGAAAACATTTTGCCAAAATTCCTAGTAAGATTAAGTAGGCTATATAATGAAAACATTATCCCTAGCAGTGTAATTCGTCGTCTCACTAAAGGCTAGAAAAACGTCAAGGTATGGGGATTCGGACTTTGAGTTCCAAACGGACATAGCCTATATCACCCTTGCAGTGTTTTTTTAAAAGTCATCAGAAAGTAACAACATGTCCTAACAAGTCAAAAATTGCAGCGAAGATAACAAAGCATTTACTCAGAAAAAAACGAATTTTTCAGACCAGTCTCATAGGATTTGTGCGATGGTTGTCAAGTGATTTCCGTATACGGAACTCTTCCCTTGTGAAAATTGTACCGGCAGAAACTGAATTGAAATATCTAGACGTTGATTGCAGGTATGAAATCGAAAGAGCGACCTCACCCGGGTAGTTAACAGCGCACGTACTTGTACAGTGTGTACATGTACGTAAGGAAGAAGCGCTAGCGGCGCTCTATTCAGTCTTTGGTTGGAAGTGTCATGTACCTGTAAGTAGGCCGTACACATGTACTCGTTATTCAGCAATAATTATGTCAGCAATGGCAGGGGGGCGTAACCCAGTCTGTTTGAAAGACTTTGAAGAAATTGCCAGAATAAATTTGCCAAAGAACGCCTTTGATTACTACCAAAGTGGGGCGGATGCAGAACAAACGCTGAGAGACAACGAGGCGGCTTTCAGAAAGTAAGTACATGTACACGACTTGACGTGACAATTACTGGGTCAATAAGCAAGGCCTTCATTTATGGGGCTTAGGCCTTAATTGTGCAGTCTGCCTATGCCCAGGCCTAGGCTTATACCCCAGCCCAGGAGGACTCCCTGACCGTACGTACGGAGGGAGTCTAGGATGTAAGGGTCTAATTAAACTTCGTCAATCTCAGTATTTTCACGTCTGTAACTCTCTACAGCTGGTGGGTTAAGAAATTCGATGCATCACACCACCACAGACAAAAACGTGAAAATCTCAGAAGTAACGTTAATTCTTGCCATTGTTGTGGACTGCTGTCAGCTGTTCTTCAGCGCAGTTTTTACAGTGTTCATGCACACAACTACATACTGGCATGACTGGTATACAGCGTACAAGATTCCAAGCTGCGTACATGCACATGTATACATAAATTGGGGCCAGGCTGTGGCATGCATTGATGGCGGTTGGCCTAGTTATCTGCATGCAAGCTGAGCTTACTGCGGGGAAGCTGATATTAAGGACATGTACAAATCCTGGTCATTTTGTCAGCATTTATGTGTCAACAGGTGGACTTAAAAAAGACCGACAAAGGTGTTCACAAAATTCGATAAAAGTAAGGAACCTTCGGCAGCGGGGTATCTAGCTTTTGGTGTAGGGGGGGTATTATCCAGCAAGGCTTGGCAAATTTTCTGTTGCTAGCAATTAACTCATGTTAGTTAATTTGTCCCATTTTTCAAGTTTTACAGAATGCATTTTTTAGGGCTGGAGAACTTGTTTTCAGAATGCGTATGCACAGATAAACAATTGATGTTTTTTAATAAACTAGATTGATATGAGAGTCAATGAAGGTGATTAACCATCATGGTCTCTTTTAACTTAAAATAAAAAAAATCACACATTGTTAGGGGATCCATTGCCCGATAACCAGACAGAGCTCCAGCATGACCATAATAGTAATAATAATAAGTTAGTATTTATATAGCAGCCGTCCATGATAAAATCGTGCTCCAGGGCGCTTTCCAAAAAGTTAAGACACTGGTTACAACTACAATACAATTACACTAAAAACAATAAAAAATAGTAAAACAAATTATTGTAAACAATAAAAACTAGCAATTAAAAAGTTTTAAAATGATCCAAAAATCTGTAAAATATGCCTACCTCAAAAAGGGAATTTGGACAATTAGATTAAAAAAACGCTTGCCTAAAAAGATGAGTCTTTAATCCGGATTTAAATTCACTGACAGACTCAGCTTCCCTAAGGGTTCTATTCAGCTTGTTTCACTCTCGTGGGG